ACCATCACACGTCGCCCCAGGCCCAGTCATCAGGGAACGTCGCGTCGACATCCCGCTGCCATCATCGTGACCTGTCTTCACCATCGCCTCAGTCCATAGCTGTCCCATCAAAGCGCATGTGTTGCAGCAGCAGGTTTCCCGGGGAGGTAATCCAATGAGCCTGACCCCCCGGGGGGGGGGTCAGGCTCATTGGGCCCGGCCGGTGTCCAAGGGGGGCCCCTCGTGACTCTCGCATGCGCGACATAAGCCAATGAGCCTGACCCCCCCCCGGGCCCCCCCCCCGGCCCCCCCCCCCGGAGGGGTCGGCTATTGGATTACCTCTAAGGGAAAACCTGCGGTTGCAACACATGCGTTTTGATGGGACAACAGCTATTAAAGACGTGATGGTAAGTCATGGTGATGGCAGCGCCGATGATGATGGGGATGAATGGAAGACTTCGTCGTCGTCGCGTCCAGAGTCCAAAAAAACGCGATCGGCTCGCGGTTTGGGTTTCAAAGGAGACCCAGACAGACACACACACACACACACACACACACACACACACACACACACACACACACACACACACACACACACACACACCTCGGGGACAGGGTCCCGGAGCGTCTTCCCCGCGCGCGCCCCCTTCAGCCTCCGCGGCCAGCCCCCCCGGCCCCGACCCCCCCGCATCGGGCGGGGAAGGCGCCCCCCGCCCCGACACGCAGGAGCGTGGGGGGGCCCGATGGGCGACCTCCTGACCCCCCAGCTGCGGGGGCGAGGATAAGCGTCGGGCCCTCTTCCTGTTCCTCTGCCAACGGCAAAAGCTCGGCCCCCGACGGGGTGGCAGCGAGGCTCCGCTCCCTCGCCCGCGCGGCCCACGGGGCCTCAGGGTTCGACGCCCCTTGCACCGGGCCAGGCGTTGCCTCGCGGGGCCCGCGCCCCTTCCCTCCCCAACGGGAGCTCGGCGGCGCCGAGCCTCCCCGACTCCAGCGGGGCCCGCACCCAACGGGAGCTCGGCCCGCCTCCGACTCCGGCGGGGCCCGCCTCCGACTCCGGCGGGGGCCCGCCTCCGACTCCGGCGGGAGCTCGGCCCGCCTCCGACTCCGACTCGGTTGAGCCACCCCCCAAGCCCGCGGCCTTCCCGTCGCCGACGGCCCTGGGAGCGAGCCAGCCCCAGCCCCCCTGAAAGGTTTCCCGCACCTCGAGAATGGCCCCCCGCCGCCTCCAGGCACTGCGGGCCCCCCCTCATCACGCATTCCCCTCCTGCTGGGGCCCCGCCTCGGCATGGGGTACCCAACCAGACTGACGGCGGACTGCGCCCATTCGGCTTGTTCTTCCAACCAGCTCCCCCAGGCGTCATTCAACCTGGGCGGCCGAAGGGTTCGCGCGCCCGGAAGAAGCGCAGGGGCCCGGGAAGGGACCTCTCCCCACGGGAACCGCTCCTCCCACCCCC